ATGATCCGTCGCCGTCCCCCCGTGTTGCAGCCGTTCATCGAAATGCGGAAGAACACTCAGTCAAATTACGTCAACGTTATAATATTCTCCCTCGTCATGCGATGATCGCAAAAGCAATTACTGAATGCATACCGTCCGTTGATACCGCCGTAGTAGTCGAGCCGCGTATTTTGTCGGCAGATGAACTTTCGTTCGATACTGTTCCGCCCGAATTTGAGCGTTTAATCGTGGCTCGTACCGTCTCAACATGGAGTGCTGTTGATGGTTCGGTAGTTGTCCAAATTGCGAATCCATCAGCTGAGTATCTCGCCGTACATGTTGGATTGGATATTGGAACTTTATCGCCGATTACTATGGTAGCACAGGAACAGCTTCACGTCCATGCTGTTGCCTTGTCTCCAAAAACCGCGAGTGAAATTGCTGCTGCTAAAGCTGAGCTGGTAGAACCGCTGTCGAAAGCGTTCGCAAATTCCACGTTCACTAAGGAACAGCAAACTCGTATTTTGGACCTGTGCGCAAAATATCGTCCCGTTTTTTCGCTGAATCGTAAGGAGCTTGGTAAATGCACAACTGCTCAAGCCAGGCTTCCTATGCCGCCTAACACGAAACCGGTTAACCATCGTCCCTACCGCGCAAATCCGCACACTGAAGCCGTTATCCAAACGTGCGTTAAGGACATGCTTGACGATGACATCATCGACGAGCTGCCTGGTCAATGGGGTTCCCCCGTTACTTTCGTCGCGCGTAATGATGGTAAACCTCGTTTTTGCGTCGATTTCCGAAGCACCGTCAACAAGCACCTCATTCGCAAGACCTGGCCTCTAGCGAACATGGAGTCCAACCTTGACTCTGTCGGCAGCGCCAAGTTCATCAGCGTTGCAGACGTCCAGTCAGCGTACTGGCAGATTCCTGTTCATCCTGACCACGTCGAAAGGACAGCCTTTGTCACCAACTCTGGCAAGTACTGTTACAAGCGGATGCCGTTTGGTGTTTGTAATGCCCCATGGATTTTTACTGAGATGGCCCATAAAACGTAAGGCCATAATCCCGAATTGTTGATTTACATGGATGATTTCTGTGTGCTTCCAGCAACTTTCGAGCATCATATGAACTCTTTGGAGAGCATGTTCGTAGCTCTCCAAGCAGCAGGTCTGACATTGAAACCTTCGAAGATTTCGTTTGGCCCCAAGTCCATCGAGTATTTGGGACATATTATTTCGGCTGAAGGTATTTCTGTCGGGAAGGATCGTATCAAAGCCGTCCAAAACCTTCCTACTCCTCGTTGCCTGAAAGATCTTCGCTCAGTACTCGGGGTGGTTAATTTTGTGCGCCGGGTCATACCGGATTATGCAGAAACAACCAATCCGTTGGTGGAGTTAACTCGCAAAGAGTACGCCACAAAATCACGTTTCGTAAAAGCTTGGAACAAATCGCACGACGCATCGTTCGCTCATCTAAAGCGGTTATTAACTTCAGCGCCCGTTCTACACTTCCCAGACTTCGATCGGGAATTCGTAGTTCATGTGGATGCATCCGAACATGGGTGTGGCGCGTTTCTTGCCCAGCCGTCCAAGGCTGATCCAGAGTCTCTTGACATGATTGCGTATTATAGTCATAGATTCAAACATGGACAGCGTCATTACTCTGCGTCTATGAAAGAGTGTTGCGGTGTGGTTCTTGCAATTTCGCATTGGCGACCGTACTTATTTGGGAAACACTTTACGGTGATCACGGATCATCAAGCGTTGACTCATCTTTTTTATATGCAAGACACCAGCAACATGCTCACTCGTTGGGCTATCGCTCTTCAAAATTATGATTTTACCGTCAAACACGTAGCGGGAAAATTGAACGTCGTACCCGATACGTTATCTCGTTTATTTGGCGAAATTGAGTCCGAAACCATATCACACAAACCGGCCCTAGCGTCGATTTGTAGGAATGTGCCGAGTGATCGTCCGTACCATCCTCCTGGCCCTCGTGACTACGAAATTTCTGCCGATTCGTTGAACGATGTTGATATCGTCCATAATGGCAACGAACTGTTCGCTAGTGCTGTATCGCTATTTCTTGTACTGCATCCCGCTAAATTGCGAAGAGAACAGTACAAAGAGTCCGGTCCGTATATCGACTACGTCAAGAAACCCAAAACAGCACCGTTACCGTCTAGCGAAAATAAAGGCACCATGAGTAATTACTTCTTGAATGAGAACGTTTTATTCAGGTCGTACTTACCAGGGTATCTTCGTAAACGCAGTTCGTTTCGTGATCAACTTGTCGTTCCTACCGTTTTGCGTGCGTTAGTCTTGGATTCTTGTCATGATGCTCCTGCGTCAGGGGGTCATCTAGCGTTCAAAGCCACGTACGATAGACTCAGAGATCGTTTTTGGTGGCCGACCATGTCTAGAGATGCGTCCAAACACATTCAGCATTGTCTGTCGTGCCAACACCGAAAAACGTCCCACAGACGACCGTTATTACCTGTGGGTCACCGTCCCGTTACTCGTCCGTTTCAGTGTGTCGCGATCGATCTCGTTGAATATAACTCCGTATCGCAGGGTTGCAAGTACGTCTTGTCGGTCATCGATCACCTGACTCGTTTTCTCGTGTTGATTGCTATTCGTGATAAAAAAGCAACAACAATTGCACAGGCTCTCGTAGAGCGTGTCTTTTCCGTTTTTTCTCCCCCTGAAACGTTACACAGTGATCAGNGACCGTTACAGTGTGTCGCGATCGATCTCGTTGAATATAACTCCGTATCGCAAGGTTGCAAGTACGTCTTGTCGGTCATCGATCACCTGACTCGTTTTCTCGTGTTGATTGCTATTCGTGATAAAAAAGCAACAACAATTGCACAGGCTCTCGTAGAGCGTGTCTTTTCCGTTTTTTCTCCCCCTGAAACGTTACACAGTGATCAGGGCACTGAGTTCGAGAATGAGTTGGTTAAAGAGTTGCAGGCCGTGTTTGGTTTCAAAAAAACTCGGACGTCCGCGTATCGGCCGCAAGGTAACTCTGTATTAGAGCGCGTGCACAGCACAATGCATGGCATGCTCGCAATGTATGCAAACGTTCGGTTTGATAATTGGGCTGAGCTTTTACCGTTTGTGCAACTCGCCCATAACACCGCGTACAACCAAACTCTTGAGGAAACTCCTCACTATCTGATGTTTGGTCGCCAGGCTTTGCTTCCCGTGGATGTCATTCTTGGTGTACCGTCTCATGATAGCTCTGCTTCGCGTATGGAATATTCACGTCGTACCGTGGATAACTTGCAACTCGCGTATGAGATCGCTCGTCGTAATTTGAAAGAGCGAACTGACAAGCAAGCAGACTCGAACGAAAATTTATCCGTACCGCAGTTTACTCCTGGGGAACAAGTTCTCGTACATCGTCCCCACACCGTTATGGATGGCCCCAATCCCAAGCTGATCAGCCCTTGGCATGGCCCATTCACCGTTCGTTCAAAAGTATCACCCGTCATCTATCGTGTTTGCAAAGACGGAGAACTCGCGGAAACGTCAGTACACTTGGGTCGTATGAAAAAGTACTATGCTTTTCAACGTGATTCTGTCCCCGATTTTTCTGAATTGGATGAGATGTTTTTGGGACAAACCCTTCCAATTCCCGATTTGGATGGTACCGTGTTTACCGTAAAAATTGGACCGTACGTCGTCGAGGGGATAGACAAATTTAAACGTGGAGCAGAAAAACCGTCTCTCCACAACTTCCAATATCATTTCCTCTTCAAAGACCGTCCTGAAAGTCTTGGGTGTAGGAAGCACTTCAAAGAAGTACCCCAGTGTCACGAGATGATCCGTTCATATCGAGCGTGCGTTCTTCGTGATAATCCGCACGCCTTTGATCATCTTCCTAGAAAGTAGCACTCGTAGCTGCTTCGTATCGTGTCTCGTGCTGCGTTTGCCTTATTCGTTTCGTGTTTCGTTTTTTTACAAGGGCTATGTTTATTTTTTATATTTTTGTGTGTACATACTGTACTTCGTATATTTTATTGTTCGTCGTCCAGCACGATCGTTTCGTAGTGCCCGCCGTCCCCAACGTTCCTTCGCAGTCCGGCCGGACATTGACGTTGTTGGTGGATACGCCCACGTTGGATGCAACACCTCGTGGAAGTCGGCAGGCGGAGCCTAGTTTGCGTCGAGATTCGCCCTCCGCGAACCAAGCATGGTTGCGTGTCTTCGTTTCGTCGGACATGCAGAATAGCGCACGTCATTTTTAAGGCATGACGTTGCCCGTTCGTTGTGTGATTAAATTTTACTATATATATTTCGCTATTTCAATGACGTACGACATAGTACCTCGTGCGAGCTCCGTAAACGTTTTCAATTATGATTGGAACGTACGTCCGTGTATAGACTATCGTGCGTGGTGTGAAGCGTCCATTGCCGTTGTGTCGCTGTCCTTGAGATACGAGTGCGTCGTATGGGGTCAGTTGATGCTTTATGTGAGCGAATATGCGTGATCGGAAGTTCGTCGTTTTCTCGTCCACTCCGTCCTGAATTGGGGGGTGATATCGTCTCACTTGCAGTTTGGGGGAATTGCAATTGATAATCGAATTCTGGATCCATGCACTTTTGCATTGTTTACACGGTTTTGTTCATGCCCGATTTGTCTTGTCGTTTGTGTGGTGGATTTTCATTCCATACATCGTTTCTCGCGTGTCGTCCATCGCGAAAGAGTAGATGGTGGTCTTGGCCGTGCAAGAGGAACCACAAGAGGACCGGACTTTCGTTCCACTACTGCGTCAAATCCATGCTACAGCACATCATTTGCTGTACTCGTAATCACCATTCGTCGTCGTTCGCCTATGCAGCACCTCTCAATTGCGCGATCGCATGAGAAGGTCGTATCGTTACCTCTCCACGAGCTGTGCACATATGTTCGTTCGTTGTTGCCGCTGCATATCGTTTGAGCAACGTTTTCCCAGCGGGTCGACCCTCGTCATTTGCCATCCGACACTTGTGAAATTTAAGCCTTGCAAGCAACCGTCTTTCACATGTGCAATGTCAAATTATTTTTCGTTGCTGGATGTTCGTTACGTGCAACTACCAAGCAGTTCACGGCGTTGTCTCAAGGTACTACTGTACAGTTTTTTTTTACACTATCGGTGCAAGACGCGCACCGGAGTGATGCTTTTTTCTGTACACACGTCGTTCGTCGTACGGTAGATCACATGTTGCCTACAGCGCCGAGGCGGACTGAAGTGACATGTTCCGTACACCTTTCGTCATCTGTGTAGTTATTCGTTCGTCGTACGGGAATAGTTGCCAAAATTCCTGAATTGCTCTCGTGCAAGCTGTGGTGGTGACTGCGCTATGTACGATCGATGCTCGGATGAGATATTTTGGTGACACGTTCCAAATTTCATAACTACAAAACACAAAGCGTTCGTTGAATGATGGCAGTCGCCGTACGTTTCGGCCCAAGTCATTCAACTCATGTTTTTCATCAGTACTTCACAATTTCATACAATCTGAGGTATTTATGTCATTCTTGTATCTTTCAATCCGGATTCAGGCCCCGAGATTGAAGATAGGGGGGTTGTGTGAATGCCACCTCAGACTGTCGTAGATTGTGACGTCAGATGACCTGTCGGAGATCTACCTTCGGGGTGTTACCACAGATAGAGTCAGTGCAGGTTGGATGCTGAACCTTGCTTCAACACAAGGTTGATCCCCACCTGCCTCACACACACTCGACTCAACGTTCCGTACATCAGCCTCTCCACCAGAGGTTGATCCGGTGTGTATCCACACCGCCCATCCTTAAGGGAACTTGCTCACACGCGAACCTGGAGACAACAGTCTCATACATAAGATAATATTAACGTGACCAATACCGTGTTTTCGACAGTCCAAGCGCCTCAAGAAACTTCATGAAGCCCGCCCACGTCGCCTACCTCACGATTGATCCAAATACCGTTTATTTGGTACTCTGTCAGCCCCGCAAAGCGCAAGCGCTGCACTCTGAAGTCGAACAGTCCTGAATAGTGCCAAGCCGGCACTATAGAGGGATTTTCAGGCCCTGAATAGTGTACAAAGTGTACAAGTATTCAGGCACAATTCTGAATAGTGCCGGTGCCCGGTATAGTGCCGGCCAAATCGCCTGGACACATACCGGCACTATATCGGGACACTGTATATGCACAAGACGCGTACACTGCTGCTGTGTAGTGCTTCTCTGACGCGGGGAGTCTCAGTCCGTGGGCGTGGTTTCATTTATCAACCCGCTTCTTCGAGCTGTAAGCCTCAGTCGAACTCTAACCTCTCACCTTCGGTAGTCATGGCAACCGCAATGAACCGACGCACCGGTAGCAGAGTCTCTGGTGCGGGCGTCTGGCGTGCTGGCCAATCACATGTGCTTTACCTATGCATACGGCATATGTACAAGGGGAGACCCTATTTGCAGGATGGTCCTGCAACGAAAAGCTGCAGGACGGAAAACGCCCCCAGAACCAACCCACTACAAACTCAGAACCAAGCAGCGAACCAAGTCAGACAGAAAACACCGCAGTAAACAAAGACTTGCTCCACACTCTTCCTTCTTCCCCTCGCTCCTCGACAAGCTTTTGCTTAGACATGGGTTGTAGTGAAGGGGGGGGTCTTTCTGGCGAGCAGGGCTAGACTCACCCTCAAGGGATGACCGAAACCTTCTTGCTGCTGCGCATATCCGCCGCGAGGCATGCGCGTGGTGGTGTAGTTGGGTCGGCACTGATGGGGTCAGGCGAAAAAATGTAGATGCGCGGGCCTCTGGCCGTCGGCGTAGGCAGCGATGCCCATCTCATTTTTTGTGCGCGGAGGCAGACACCGTCAGAAGGTGGACGGGAACTATGTACACGTCCCTAGGTTGGCTAGAGGGCGCTGCATTGCCTCAGTAACCTGGCTTCGCCATCAAAGGAGGAGGGAGCAGGTGGCGACGAGCTGAACTGGGCTGGTTGACCCCTTCGGCGCGAGAATTTTTATTTTTCAGACCAAGAACCTTGAGTGCAACGAGGGAGAAAGCGAGGAACCGACTGGGAAGGACAGCAACGAGAGCGTGTACGGACGGAGCAGGTCGAGTGGCGTTATGCTCGGGCTGACTACAGCGGCGCCGGACGGAGCAGCGGCACCGGAGCATGCGGGCGACATCGACCCGTGGCGCACGGACAAACATTTGTGTTTGATCTGTGTTGTCAATTTTTCTCGTTTTTTTCCTGATTTTCGGTGTTGGTTCTATGTGATGACGTCGTCACTGGTTTTGTAGAGAGACCCGTCAGAGATGGCGTGGCTAACCCGGGTGCCTTGGTTATGTGCCTGATCGTGGAAGACCCCTTCAATGTGGAACGATTCTTAGCTATTGTCGATATTTTCACTGCGTGCCTAACACAGACGATCGGGAGAGGTTCGGGTGATTGTCCATTGCAATCATGGCTTTGGTTGGTTGTTCTTTTTCACTGTACGTCCGCAGACACATTCTGACAGCACTTCAGACAGCAGCTTTGTGCCCCGCCAGCTTCTTGTTCCATGCCTACCATGGTGTTTTTGTACAGACAGCACTTCAGACAGCAAGTATGCTGTAGTCGGCAATCATTCGTTTTGGTACAGAGTGGGACAGGTAGGGGGTGATGTTACTGTAGTCGAACGGTGAGACGGACGTGTAGTTCAGTTTTGGGCACGCGTACGGTGCTGCAGGGATTATATATAGGTGTAGTAGTACCTCTTCGGGCTCTTGTACACCTTTTTCTTGCTACGTGTGCGTGTTCTTTAGATCCTCAGATGGCTCCAGCACTTTCGTGACCACGGGCCGAGAGTCTTTGCTAGATTTTGGCATTTAGCAACTGGCATACGGTTTAATGTGAAGTCAACAACAAAACAACAACAACAACAGAGCACCGCCACAGACCACACAGCAGATCATGTCCCTCATGGATATTATCGGGAGGAGGAAGTTGCCCTTGGGTGGAGATGACGACCTGCTTTCGGACAGCAGCAGCGTTATCGAAGTAGAGGGCGGCCCCGACGATTCCACGAGGCAGCAGTCAAGCGCACAAGACCAGCAGCAGCAACAGGAAGCTAGAGCAGGGGAAGGAGCAGCAGGAGATTCAGGAATAGGTCCAGAGCAAATGGTGAGGTATAAATGCTGATCGGCGCAGTAGGAAGGATGCAAGTCGGCGTCTCGACCCTAAATGGAAGATCAGACGAGCGCTTGACACGCGACACGCGCCCGATCGCCCGCCCGCGCACGCGCCAATAGCCTTATCAGTAGTCTATGCCTTTCTTCTAACGTCAACTGCAGTTAAACGTAGGGCGTAAAGAGCAACAACGACAGCTTTGAGAGCAGCCGGAGCAGCCGGAAGCGATACCTCAACAGGAGATGTTTCGGGGGATGCCCAGGGAGGGGATGCAGTGAGGATCAACACAGATGCAGATCGAAAAGCAAATGGTTTTTCACGTCTTGTTGGCATGCGTGGGGCCGCATACGCGTGCCAGGATGCACGTACTCTGTGTGCACGCGGTGAGGATTTCACCAAGGAGATCGAAAAAAAAAGGCACAGCAGTACTACTGCGGTGGGTGGTTTACATGTAGACTAGTCTCTGCATACTACTACTGTACACAGCAGGGAAGACATGCAGTCCGAATAGTATCACACACACACGTTCATCGAGCCTTGTTGTGTGCTTCAGCTGTCTGTCTTTTCTCCTATCTCGCTCCTGATGTCAGCAGATAGAAGAAGGCGGACGGAGATCAACGCTTGCGGAGAGAGGATCGGGGAGCGCGGAGCATTCGGGAAGGGTGGAGAAGGGAGCAGCACCAAGTAGTCCCACGAAGGTATGCTAGACCACCACGGACTGTATGTGCTTTGTTTTATTTGTTCTTCCTTCGGGGAACGCATATCTTGCATAGTTTGACGCACGGAACTGTGCCGCCGTTGTCAGCCGACCAAAAGGACGTTGAAAGGAACGCACGTGGGTAAACGTGTGCATACGTATATGTATCGGCATGATCATAGGACGTGGGCAGTTCAAACTTTCACAACCAGTTTATAGTGAAACAGAACGTCCCATATCCCGGCGTTGCCTCGAATCAGCTACTTTTGCAGCAGTAAATTTGGAGTCAGATCTCCTCTGCGGGTGATATTTTCATAGATTTACAGTTGAAAGCGACAGAGCTCGCGAGTAGGTAGGCACAACTCTCCTGAACCCTTTCGCGAGTAACCGATGGCACGCACGGCAGGAGGGCGGTGGTGCAAAAACGAAGAGGCGAAGATAAAAAAAAAATAAAGGGGTACGGTGGGGCAAAGTGGGGCAAGGCACGAGAAGAGAATGAACAAAATATAGGCCGCTGTTCACCCCCTCCTTCCCTCCTGTGTGACCGCGACGCACACGTCTGGTTGTACAGAGAAACACACCGGTTGGGTGGTACGCTGTGGTGGTGGGGGAGGCGGGGGGGTACTAATAGTCGTGCATGCCGTGTCGTTAGACCATTGACCTCGCATCCCTACAAAGCCGGGACGGAGCACGCCGGATTCTCACAGGACCAGGCTCTCACATCACCAAGCGCGAAGCGCCGTAAGATATTGGGCGAGTCGCATGAAGGGTGTGCTGCATCCTGCTAAGGGTTGTCGGCATCTTGTGCTTACTTCCTTGCGTACGGATGACAGCTGCGTATGACTTGATTTATTTTCTGGTGCTTTCACTTCCAGAGACATGTGGAAGCACCTTGTAACTGCCTGGAGGGTGCTCGACCATGTGAAAACAACGTGGTGCGATCATCCCCCTTGCGCGGAGTGAGGGTTCTAGACCTCGCACAACATGATCTACCCGACCACCATTATGGTTACCGCCAAAAAAAAGGAAGAGGTAAAAAAAAAACGGTAACCAGGTTGCCGAGTTCACCAGGTGAATTGGCNGTGAAAACAACGTGGTGCGATCATCCCCCTTGCGCGGAGTGAGGGTTCTAGACCTCGCACAACATGATCTACCCGACCACCATTATGGTTACCGCCAAAAAAAAGACCGGAGGTAAAAAAAAAAACAAACGGTAACGTGGTTGCCGAGTTCACGAAGTGAATTGGCTTGTTTTACAACGTCGTTGCCAAGCGACGAAAACCCAACCCCGATGGCAAACACCGGGGGGGGCGGCTTGTTTTACAACGTCGTTGCCAAGCGACGAAAACCCGATCCCGATGGCAAACACCGGGGGGGAGGGTGGGAGGTATAAATTGTTCGTGATGATCGCGCCAACATCGAGGGGGGGGCTTGTTTTTCAACGTCGTTGCCAAGCGACGAAAACCCAACCCCGATGGCAATCACCGGGGGGGAGGGTGGGAGGTATAAATTTTTCGTGATGATCGCGCCAAACTAATCCTCCACCCATCGGTTGCCACATGACCTGTTTCCGTTGCCTGTCGTGCAGGAAAAATGGGTGTACAGCGCTGACGCCCTGAGGAGGGTCCTCGAAAACATCCCCACACAGGAGGACATTCCCCAGCTAGTATCGGCCGTGAAGGACGTGTGCGAAGAGCATGGGGTAAAGATGGCCGTGTCCACCTCTACTAAGGAAAAGGGGGGCGGCCGGCTGGTCTCGACGACGTTGCTATGCGTACATGGCATGCCGCTACGCAAAAACCCAGCAAGTAGCGGTGAGTATAATGCGTAATGATCCCTCTCTGCCCCCCCCCCTTGTTTGCCCCTTGTGAATGTCGGCTTACGGAACACACATGTGATGGGGGTTGTCACGAAATGGTATAGGGCAGCCGCAGTAGGAACAACCCGATTCGGAAATGTGGGGGAAGTGTGTCACCTGGTGTATTGCATCACTGACTACAGCAAGAGCGACGCAGATCCAGGCGTGACGCGCGCTGCAGAGATGAACATGTTGGAGCTTGAGGAATATATGTTTCATGCAACCTAATATGTTTCAGTCGGTCTGCTGCCACTCCCCCACCCTTCACCTGTGCGGCAGACAACAACACGAAGAGCCGGAAAGGCGAAAGCAAGAGGCCGGGCTGCGGCTGCAAGGTTGGTGCTGCGTGTGTGGGCTCTGCAGTCCTGCGTTGGAAAGTTGTTGTCATGCAAATCCAGGGCTAGGAGAGACGAGGGGGGGCGAGGAAACACTTCTTCTTTCATGTTGCCAGCATGGAAGGTAGCACCTTACCCTCCTCTCGTCGTGTGTCTGATTCTACTCTGTTCGAATCGGATGGAACGCACCAGCTTGTACACACATGCGCGGAGGTTCTTGGATTGTTTTGGTTGACGTCAGCATGAGGTCGAGATTGTTTTGTTGGGGTGGTTCAACCTGCTGGAAAACACCATGAACACGCTGGTTGTGGTTACTGCGTGACTGTTGTGTCGGACTGACTGGCCTTCAGAACAACATTCGATGGCCGATAAAGACCGACGTCTACAAGCACCCACGGTTGACAACAATGGAGTTGGAGCACCTGCATGCCGTCGACAAAGAGGCTGCGGATGTTCAACAAGCACAGAAGGGGCCATTGACGACCCCAATGAAGGCCACCGCAGCGAAGCTCACTGGTACGTCGTTAAGTCTCGCTTGCTGGTGATGTAGGTAGTGTCGTTGCCCGCCTCAGCTCCCCGACATTGGGGGCGAACGTTTGTGTTTCGTTGGCGTTGACTTATAACGACGTGCTGTATAGGTTAGACTCCGCAAGAGGCGCGTTTGTAGGTTGACCTTGTGTGTTGATTGTGGATGTATTCCAAACGCCCCCCGAAGTCGAGCGATGGGTACTCTCTTTTGGTCTGGGATGCCTTTCCCACGGGACACAACATGTCCTCCCACCCCCCAACCCAACCGGGGCACAGGATAAAATAGGGTAGTCGGAAGTTTTGTGTTTGGCCCAACGAGTGTGTTGTCCGTGTCATTAAATAGTCGGGCAACGTCGTACTTGGCCCAACAAGTGTGTCGTCCACGCTACGTCGGTGCGTTTGTTCTCCGTTTCAGATGCTGGATGAAAACCTGCCGCGCAAGCGGTCGTCTTCGAGGCTCTGCATGACCGAAGAGTGCACCCCCGGACTAGGCAGAACGAAGTCATCCGACATTGTGAGGATGCACACCCGTTTGACGCTGAAGACTTGTTGCAGAAGGTGCGAATCGTTTTTTGTCTAGTCCTGCGGTCCTGAACACTTGCTTGTCGGTTGAGGCGGCGTGTTGAAAGCGATGGTTACAATGCGCCCTCCCCGTAGCCGATTAGACACGGCATGTCGTAACCTACCTTCGCCTGCCTCCATTCTTATCCAGGTCCAGGCATGCACAAAGGAGACCGGGTCCACCCCGCAAGACCGCCGATTTCTCTACGTAGACTGCCTCAAGGAGATAACAGCAGCTGTAAGCTTGGGGGTAGAGACTGTGCCTCCCGAAGCCCTGCGGGCACTCGTGCGGCAGTTTAAGCACGGACTGCACCAGGCGTCGAGGATAGGATCGTCCGCAGGATTGGCGGTGGCAAACCCAGCTGTCGTCCGCCTGCCGACGAGCAGAGACACCGGCAAACGAAAAAGGGCGTCTCACGAGGGGGGTGCTGTGGTTGGAGCGGCTAGACGGGCGTACAACCAAAGCTACAGTTGAATTGCAGGGCCCATGCTTGCAGTGAGCGACACGCATCGTAGAAGCCCCGGCGCTCGGCCGCACGTTGTTAGTCGCGGGCCGTCGTCGGCGTTCGTGTTGGTGTGTGTGCTGGCGTGGCGAATGGGAGTACACTCGTTTCTTGGTTTCCGGTTGGGCTGGAGACACGCAAGTGAATATTTGGGGTTGTCGTAGACCGGAAGGATTCCGGACGTGGAGGTGTGGTGTTTTATGTGCGTGTGCCCGTGCTTGTCCCGATTGTAGGATTAAACTTGCGATTTTAAACGGCAGAGGGTGTCCTTAACTCGTGGGCACGCCGGCCGCACGCCGCAAGCGATTGACCAAAACCACATGGCTGACACTTCCCGCAATAATGTTTCGACCCGCTTGCTTTCAAGGTCAAAGCCCCCCCCCCCCCCCCCCCCCCCCCCCCCCCCCCCCCCNGTCACACAAAAAAACCGTTTCGATCTCTCTACCCAGCCTTCATAACTGTCCGTACTGACCCAATGCTTGACGCGGTCGATTCCCGCGGTCACAGGCTACCTTACCCTACAAACGTACACTCAAATAAAATGGAGGGGTCCGCAAGCCAAACTATATCAACCACAGGTACTGCTGTAGTCTGGGGCCCTCTGCTGCTCCCTCTCTCCGTGCGCGTGTGTGATTTCGTCCCACTATTTATTAATTATGGCGACAGTCCCTCCATTTTTCGTGGTGATATGTACAACACGTTTCATGTGTGTATTATGTATGTAGTACACTTTTTCAGTGCATCTTTGCCTCCAACTACAGCCATCCAGGGCACACAGGAGGGGGTAAACACTACACGCTGATTATGTGTCTCTCTACGTGCGATGTAAGGTAAGAACTGGAACTGGGAGTCAGCATCACGGTTGTGTGCAGTCTGCCCGATTGTGGGCTGTGTGTTCGTGCTGGTTTGTGTAGTCTGTGGAGCATGTCTTTGTTCACTGCTGTGTTTCTGTGTTTCTTGGTTCGCTGCCTGGTTCTGGGTTTGTAGCGGGTTGGTTCTGGAGGCGTTTTCCATCCTGCAGCTTTCCGTTGCAGGGTCTCCNGAACGTAGACATACCATTTTGGGGTTCTTGTGTTTGTGACCCCTGCTTCCGTGGTTAGCACTACCCCCCCCGGTTTTCCAGCGTACGTGTGGCCTTCCTCGGTCAACGAAGTGAGCGAGATAAGGTTCAAGTCCATTCCTGGCACATG